TGCGAATATAAAAGTGAATTCTTTGGATACAAATCTGAACCTTGGTAAGGTCTCTAGGTTCGATCATTGCGTAGGCTACAACAGATTCAATTTTTAATGGTAGATCTCTTAACTTCACAGTAGCCAAAGTTACCACATTCAATTTTTAAAACTCTAAATCATTCCTTAGTCCCCAAGTCACACCTCCTGTGAGTTTCTTTTTCACACATCTCCTTCCCATAACTTCTCACGTATGCTTTTCATTCACCCCTTTAACATATATCAACAAACAGAGTTGACCTTTCAATTATGCCCCGACTAATTCATATGGCTTCCTTTATATAGCCCTATTAGACTCGCATATTCCCACGGAGCCCTATTTTCAACTACTTCATGCTATTTTTAAAAATGGTCCAATGTGAATGGGTGGATGAGGGCAAAAAAAAGAAGGAAAATTAGATGTTATAGGATTTTGTGGAATATTCTTCAAAATAATAGAATATGATTTATAATATATTTTATTATGTCTTTAGTATCTGATATTTAAGATGATTATGATCTTGATCTATTTTATTTTAGGTCTTAAAATTGAAAATAAAAAGTCCCTAAAATGAATTATTTAGTTTTTATATATTTTTTATGAGAGACTAAAATGAATTATTTAGTTTATATTTCTTTATTTTTTTTAAGTTGGAGAATGACATTTATAATATCACCATTTAATTATTAGTATATTTTAGATTATGCAAGTGTAATGCTTTGACCTATGGATGAATTAATAAAAAAAATATGAGTGTTAAGTTTTAGCTCTTTTTAGTTTTAATGGTAGCTTTTAGGTGTTTTGGGGTAAATAGTCAATAGTTTGCTATCAATATCCTGATCTAGTAAACTCTCTCATATTTGAAAGTTTCTAAATGATGAAACAACAATAGATGAGGTAGGAACATCTCAAACTTTTGGAGGTATCTTTACATTCATTCTTCCATACACACAGGAACACATCTCTCTATTTCATGTTTTTTGTGGACCGCAGAGTGCAGAAAACATTGCAAACGTAGGTGTAGCATCTCTTGATTGAAGTACAAATTCATGTATGCTTAGCATATGTGAGTCTTAAAGTGGGACCAGTTTAAAGGATCATTCACGTGACTGCAGAAAAACACAAATAGCCATAAAGATCAAAACATTCCCAGCTGCACATACATTGTCCAAGAGTCTAATATGGCCATTTTTCCCCCACTTGTGCCACTCAAAACTTCATCTTTAAATGTATATACACAAATATTATAATAGCTTTAATGGTATATAGATACCCTAGTTACTTTATTTTTTTCAATTTACGATATTTTTACCAAGAAAAACCTGTTCCAAAAAAATTTACCCACTACCCCTTTGCCTTTTAATTATCCAACTAAATCTATTTTATGTAGCAGCCAAAATTCGACCTCCGGATTGACAAATTCTGATAGTCTTTTATTGCATCTTTGGCCATAATTTGCTTTGTTTTTCTTTATTTTTATATATTTAATAATATTTTTTATAATTATATTTATCCAATGAATTAATAAATGTAGTATAATTTTATAAATAGTATTTAAATTTTTTTATTGATGATAATTATTAATTATTTTAAATTTAGGTTAACATTAAATTAATAAAAATACTACAAATATTGAAGATAAAATTTAAAATATTAAATTAAATTATATTAAAGTGAATTAACTTGTGTTAATAAAATATTGCACAAATTATCACGAATAATCTAACTTTATTAATAAAAGTAAATTTGATATTTATTTTTATTTTAATATAAATAAAAATTTATGAAAAAGTTATGTTAATATAAAACTATTGATGCAATATCTTAGTTAATTTAAATATTCAACATTTGTTTACGAAATTTAAAATAAAGAGATTGAACCATACCGTTATAGAGAAGAAATTAGAAAAAAAAATTTACCAATAATTAAAAGATGCAAGAAACTGAAAACAAAATTTAAAAGAGACTAAGAAAAAAAGTACAACAAAACACATATTAAAACCTAAGTATAACTAACATACTAGTCGATGAACAAAAAAAAAAAGTGATTTTTTTCTTCTCTTAATCCTATCTAGATCAGTTTTTTCTTCGTTTTATCTTGACTTTGATCATGCTATATAAAATACCCTGCACAACAACAAAAATAACTACATTAAAGAAATCTTTCTCACTCTAGAGACTTCTAATATGAAGCGTAGTTGATAATTGTAGGAAGACCAATCAATCCATAGCTTATGGCTTCCAATGATGAAACTCAATTCATGATTAATAATATATCAACAGACAACCCATTACAAGGAAAATCTTCATTCTTCGTTTTGAAAAAGTTAGTCATATACATTGTTTATAGCGTGTAGATTAAGCCAAGTTAAAACAAACTATTTTATATTAATATTATTAATTATTAGTTTATTTTATTTTATTTTCTTTCACATGAATGAATGCAAGCTATTCTCCAATCAAAGTTCCAATCCCAAGGGACCATTTTGAGTACACAATATTCGATGAAGTTTCTGAAGTCATTCCCACTTGGTTAACTAATGAGGTTTTTTTGAATATTCATGATAAACATTCCATATTTAATAGCACTATAAGGAGGAGACAGATAAGATAAGCATGACTTTTATATTGTACTATAATGTTCAATATCCAATTATTGGGTGTATATATATATATTCATAGAGGGTCATTGAAGTAGCATAGGATTCTAATTTTTCCCTCCACATGTGACTTTGTCGCTTTATCATATGAATGCATTAGCTAATATCACAAAAAGCATTACGGAGAACCTTCCCACTATCAATACAAGCCAAGACTAGGTAGGGCTCATTTCCACACAAATATTTCAATTTACTTCTATTATTCTCCAACACTTACTACTAAACCTTATATTCACTTCCCCCAAGTTATACTTACTTCAATCATTAATTAACATTTTAATGGGTTTGGATTAATAAATAGATAATTAACTACTCTTAATCTACAAGTTACTTGTTAAAATAAAATTAGACTCTCTTTTCTTTTTCTTTTTTTTTTTTTCAAATTTTCACGTATAAACCTATCTGTAAAGTTTAACTTGTGATAGATTGTTAGTATAAAAGATTAATTTGATGTAATAAATTAAAACTCAATAATCTAAAAATTAAAATAAATGTTATCAATTTATTCTACTTAATTATTTTAATTAAAATAATATTTTTTTAAAATTATTCAAATATTTTTTTATTAAATAAACTTAGAAACATTCTATTTAGTAATTTTTCTATATTATTTATGGGATTTTCTTAAGAAAATAAATAAGTATTTACTTCAAGAAAATAATATTTTTTATTACAAAACTATCACGTTTTTTATTTTACTTTTTAGTTTTCAAAAGTTTGTATAGTTTTTTATATTGCTTTAACTATTTTACAAGGGTTTAAAATATAAAAAAAATATATTTATTATTTAAAATGTAAATAAAAATAAAGATGGTAAAAATAACTTTTAAACACACGTGCCAAATCTTGATGAAACTCATCCTTTAAGTTGTATATCAATAGTATCAACATATATAAACATAACGAGAAAATTTAATTTATGTTAGATATTATAGTATGTTTTACTTATACCTGCACAAATATTTTTCTAAAATCTGAATAAAGGCATTACATATTATAGACACACATTGAATGTAACTAATATTTTTAAAATTGGGTTTTCGGTATCGATATGGTTTAGGATTTTAAATTAAATTAAATAATATTTTTATAATTTAATAAATATATAATAAATTTATTATTAAAATAATTAAAAATAATAATAAAAATTATTATTATTATAAATTATAATAAAAATTATAAATGTAAAATGTATTAACAAATAAAAAATAGATAATAATTAAAAGAAAAGAAAATAATTATAATTAATGTAAAATTAATTAATTAATTTGAAAATTATTATAAAAATTTTATTTAATTAAAAATTATGATCTTTAATTTATTTATTTTTTATCAATTCAATCTAAAAAATTATTTAATTTTGTTAAGTTTATGGTGGCCGGTTTTCAAATCAACCAATACGTAACCTTATCTTATATGGAAAGTTTTTACATTAATGAAAGTCACACCTTCATCTCACATCCATTTCAGAGGGTTTATTTTTATTCAAACTTCAAGACAATACATGCACCCGAAGGTTTTCTTGATTACCACAGTATTTTTAGAAGAGTTAAATTAAAAAAAAAAACTTATGAAAATCACATGTCTCAAAATGTAGAATATACACAGATAATTATAGAACCCTACTAAAAAAAATCTTTATCTTAATAACAAAATTGAAATCTATGTTTTAATAAAGTATGATTTAAATGATTTGATGAAAAGAAAATATCTATCTCATCTCTTTGAAAATGATTGCATTCCTTCGTTCGCGTTTGGCAACTTCACTGGTAGTTACTTACCTTTGATTTTGACTTGATAATCAAATTTCTTATTCCTTCGCGTGTTCATGAACAGTGTCACATGTACCCTTTCTGAATGGCGTCACTTCTTAGCTAACCAATTAGAAAAGGAAATAGTTCTTTCATCAACCTTTTCTAAAAAAACACAGACGTACTGTTTAATCAGAAAAATACATCCACCCATCTCAGTTATCACTTTCAACAAGGGACACACCAAAAAAACTAATAAGATACATAAAATATGATTGATAAATAATTTATGTTCTAGTTATCTGAGCTCCCAAAAAGTTCAAAGAATAAAATGATCAAGATCATGCATAACTAATTACCATCTGATTTCATTTATTTCTAGCTGCTCTATACACAATAGTTCTAATGATCTCTGAACTACCAAAGCTCTAGCTACTGAAGGAAAACATGAAGAGAAAAAAACACTAGGATACACAAAAGCAGAACCAAAAGCTAACTAGCTATCTCTAAAGAAGAAAATGGCTACTGAAATTCATTTTGAATTTTTCGTTCATATTCTCTCTTGCGTGATCAATTAGCCTTTTCAACGTGGCGTATGAACACTGTTTCCAAGTCTGGTGGCGTGAAGAACTCTCGAACGGCTCCACGATAGTTGCACTTGAAGGAAGGTTTTGGCTTCCTAGGAGGAGGTGGACACGTGAAGGGTGTTGGGATCTTGGATTCCACTGTTGTTGGTGTGGTTGAGCACTCCTCTGTCTCAATCTCTTCCTTCTGTTCCTTCTCCAAGGGGACAGTGTATATAGGCTTCAATGGCGCTCGTAAAGCTATTCCAGCGATGAGCCATTTTCTGTTGTTATCTGAATCAAACCCTCCCTCTACTTGTGCCTTCTCAGAGAACCCCATGTGGATCAAAAAGCATAAAACTTTCTGAATATATATCCTATGAATAAAGAGGGGATAAATAAAGAGAGAAAAGTGCTGAGTGATGAAAAGGTTGGAAGTGGGAAATAAAGCGAGAAAAGTTGTGGGGAGAAGGAGGAAAATAAAAGGGGACAGAGAAGATGCAAAAGAAAAGAGGGTTGAGGTATGAGAATGAATGAGAATGAGGGAGAGAGTAAGATACGATCTTAAATGTGTGGAAGAAGGTGTGAGAACGATGAATGTTGGTGTGTTAGAAAAGAGGTTAGAAAGCAATTGGTGAAGGGAGAAGCAAGGAAGGAAACTCGTGACATAAGCAGTGACCATTAAATAAAGAACACCAATTAGAAGAGTGAAGAGAATGATGCTGCTGGAGACGAGGATGCCCGTGAAAATGGCTCAACATCCCACATCAAATGTAAATAAATCTTTAATGTTTACTATTAAAAAAACATTTTCATCACCTCTGTTGATTTTTCTTTTTAGTTTATATTTTTTTTTAATTTGTATTTTTACACTTATAGTTTTAGTTTTTGGTATTTTTCATATTAGGAATGGTTTTAACTCAATCTTAAGCTTAATTATTGTGAAAAAGAAAATTAAGTTCAAGCCATCTATTTATGATTGTAATAATTTAATATAGTTCTTAAAGTTGTATATAATTATTCAATTTAATAATTCAGTTTGTAATGGATAATGATCCCTTAAATAATAAAATAATAAAACTATGATTTTTTATAAGATAAATAAAATTATGTATAAATTAAACTAAATCTATGAATAAGATAAATGGGAAATTTTATAAATTAATTATTAGAAAAAACATAATTTATTTTATCTTGTTATTTTCTTCCTATATAAGTGCCTACTGAGAGATTCATCTAAACAAAAGTAAAACTAATATTTTAAAAATAAATTAATTAATCTAATCTCATAATTTTTCAATAAAATTCATGAAAGCCCTTGAATAGAATGAAATGAAATTAGTTGGTATGATAAATTCTTATAATTTTGTTTTTAAAAAAAGAGAGAGGTTGAAATTTGGCGGGAAATGTGTTTGGGCATTGTTTTGTTGTGGATGAAGAAGAATGAGAAGTTATTCCCCCTATGCTAAAAGCCATAAGCAATGCAAGGCACCTTTCTCTTTTGCCCAAACTTTTTAAAGATGCGGCTCACACAGGGAATCATATCACCACCACCAATCAATCTCTTGTTTTCTGATTTTTCTAATTCCTTCTCACCATTAATCTCTCAACTTTCTGCATCTCCATCATCGTTTGTCCCTTATCCTCATCCAGTTTTCATTGCCACCAAACCCTTTTCTAACCCTAATTTTAACGTAACATGCATACATTCTCACATAGGTGGTGCCTCCAGGCCCACCTTGTCTTCTCATGCACATCTTTTTCTCCTTCAGTTTTGACTTCCCACCAACATCTTAATACTTCAATACCATTAACAACTTTGCTCTACCCTCACCAAAATATCAAAATCTTTTTCTAACTAATTATAATTATATTTCATCTTTTTAACAACATTAATGCTTGTATCAATTCTTTTAATTCAGAATGTTAATTAATAACATCAAGAATAGTGAAATCACAAGGATGGGATAAAGTGTGGTCCTTCAAAATCAGATGTAAAGTGATGAACTTTTTGTTTAGTTCATTAATCATACAAATATGAACACTTTAACATCTAAATTAGATTCTTTTTTTCTCGATACAATAAGATTATCAAATTCACTATATTTTTCCTAATTTAGTACTAATTTTTCTACAATTTAAAGTAATGATAATAGTATTTTTAAAATAAAAATATATATTTTTCTCATAAAATAAAATTTTACATATTAAGAGGATAAGAGAAAAAGATAATATATATAAATTTTACTAAGATACATCTACGTGAACTAATTTATTTAGAAAGAGTATTTTGATAAATTATAACTTTGATTTTCTTAAATAACACTTGAGACATAACTTGGTAAAATACAACGGATATATATATACCTTAATAATTATTCTTTGCTAAAATATATTCCTTATATTTTTATAAAAAATATTTTAGCAATTTAAATTTTGGTTTTCATAAAATATACTTAATTAAGATGCAGTCGGTAAAGGAAAAAGAACTCACTTTAAAAAAGAGTTATATATATACAAATAAATTTTAAGATTAAAAAAATTATGCTTGATGCATCATTTTGACCATCTTCTTTTGCATTTAAAGGTTTGATGTTTTTATTAAAAAAAAATTATCAATCTTTTAGGTTTTGTCGTTGTTATAGATTAATATGAACAAAAAGAATCTCAGATATTTTGGGGCATACCTGAATGTTCCGTTCAGTGAAAAAAAAATAATGCCCTTATCATTGGTAGCATGGAGACAAAATAACCAAATTCATAATTATATTATGAACAAATTGTTTTTCTCGTAAAAATTATTTAAGTAAAGCCTAAGCAAGATTATGACTTGAAATAAATTCAAAAAGTATTTAGTTGAGCAAAATTGACTTGTCTTTATTTATACCTGATAAAAAAATTTAAAATTGTGTTCGAATAATCTTGAATTAACAACTAAAATGCATTAATATTTAAAATTCAGTACAAAACATTAATTGAAACATTACTATAGACAAGATTATTATATAAAAGGTTTGACACCTATTATTAATTGATCTTCTTCTATTTACATTTTATCCTTATAACATATATAGGTCCTGGAATAGTGCAGAAGTATCGGTGAAGGAATTGTAAAATAAGATGGTAGCATAATAAGGCAATGAAGTGGGTGTAGTAGTTAAATGGGAAGAGGAATGAGATTCTGAGTGACCTTAATGAATGTAGAGGTTGTCAGTTCTGACACCATGGTTGGCATGGTGTTTGACATGATGAGATAAAATGGTGTCAGTGTGTGCAGGGAAACAGCCAAAGCCAACATCACAAGTGCCTTCAAGTACACTTCTCAAACCTTTCAACCTGGCCCACACCACACACCATTTTTGTTTTACTTCTGTTAAAATCAAAATCACTCCATCCATGCAATTTTGGTGTACTTGAATTCTAATTCAATATATTCATTTCAAGTATAATAAAGAAATTGTTTAGTTTATTGAAGTGAAATTACGCATATACAAAATTAAGGACTGGATTAAAATTGAGAATTTTCTTAAATAAGAAAATTAAAATTACAATTTTTGTTAACTATAATATTGATACGTTTTTATTCATTGTCGGAATAAATTAAATAAATATTCTGCAAATTTTGGGAGGAAAGGTTTTTCTTTCTATTGATTTTAGATTCGTCCGTCAGTGATTTTTTTGTTAAAATAAGAATATTTTTTGTAAATCAAATTAATTTTATATTATATTTTTAATTTTTGAAAACTTAACTTTTTAAAGAAAAAATCATTAGTTTTAAATAAAAGTAAAATATTTTAAATGTTTTTACCAAACTTCGTGTAAAGGGGATAACAAAAACAAGTGAACTAAAAGTAACTACTTGTACGTATTTTAAATTTTAATTTTAACTAAAAATAGCTTCAAGGTAGGTTGGTTTTAATACGTCATAAAAGATTTCGGTTTCATTGAAGAAAAGTTCATAAAATGATGTTTGCTTAAGACAGGATTTAATATAGTTTAATTTAGTTTTCTAACTTTCATATAAAAAAAGGATTTAAAACTTTAAATATTCAAGTCAAAATACAATGGAAAATCTAAGGGTTAGGTTGGAAGCAGAGTTTCGATTCTTTTCTGGACTAATACAAAGGATGCTCTAAACAGATAACTTGCTTTGCGTACCTATTTGTGACACTAGGTTTCGGGTTTAGAAATGAGTGTTTGTTTGATTTGACACTTACCATCTCCTATCACCTGCGTTTCATCGAAGGAATAAAAAATTATTCAAAATACTTTTAATTTAAATATAAATCATACATTCGCGTTTCATTCCATCGTTCCAAAACCAAACATACGCGAAGAGGACTTGAAACTAATGTTACGTATTCGGATAAGTCTAGTTGTTTGAACTCGTATTTGCATAAATGCATAAATACTTTAGTTTGTCTGTTAAATCCTGAAAACAAATGGGTATTCTTTAATATAGTTTGAACAAAAGCTGTAACATGGTGACTAACGGGTAGACCCAGTAAAAATAAATAAATAAAAAGTTACAAATTTAACCTAAATTGTGTGTGGAACTTTGTAAACAAATTTCAACTGTATCAAACCTATTTCACCTATATTGGCTCATGTATGAAATGTTTGTATTGGTTTTTTCTAAATTACTTCACCTATTCGACCATGTCGTACTTGTTTATTTTTCAAATATAAAGTTTTATGAGCATGTGATAATGGATGGAAAGTGAAAATAATAATAATAATAATAATAAAATACAATCAGAAGTGGAAAAAAGTATTTACATAATTTTTTTAGTTATAATAGATTTTTTTATTCTGTTTTATAAGTTATATATATATATATATATATATATATATATATATATATATTCTGTTTGTATTATTTTTTAGAATGAGAAATTCTTAATAAAAACACATAAATTTCATAGTACATATATAAATAGTAAGAGAATATTAGATGTTATTTCTTAATTTTTTCCTCTATTCCTTTAATGTCTAAACTCTATACTAACTTTCACACTAATCCTTCAAATCTCTTTTTTCTTTCTTCAAATAAAACTCAAATCTCGTACATATTTAATACATTTCATTAATTGAAACTCAATTTCATACTAAACTCAAATGTTTTCGAAGTGATAATGGAATAAAATTTTTATCAGCTGTTTTTTTTATCTAAATATATTCTTCATCAAAGAACTTGTGTTGAAATACTTCAACAAAACAGTGTTGTTGAACGAGCATTGTTGTACCAAGTTCGAGTACCTCACATCTTTTGGTCTTATATTATTTAACAAGTTGTTCATATCAATAATAGATTGTTTACTCCGTTATTATATTTTAAAT